AATTATATTGTATCAGATCGTACCGAAAGTTTTTTTTTGCTTTCCGGCGTACAGATTTTTTTTCCGTTTTATATTCTACGTTATACACTCGTATCGCCGGGAGTGTTTGAAAAACGTCCTCTGCCCGGGGTCATACCGTAAACACGACTAATACATTTGCGGTTCAGTGGGAAATTTCATGTCCCCCGACAGACAACTCGCGACGTGAAAGAGCAGCGAAAAATTAACCTAGCTTTCATTATGGACAAGAAAAAAATAAAATAAATGCATCTCTGTAAAAATATATGTATAATAATATCTTTTTTGTCATTCTCGGAATCTGAAAACTGTCGACGTGCTTTTCATATCAAAAACAAAAATGTTTTTTTTTATTCACTCACGTGAATCATAACGTACCTAGTCATCAAAGTAATAATTTCGAGTTGTATGAGAAATGATTAACGCCAAAGTATGTGAACATTTCCGACCAACGGGCGTCAACGGAACACACGAGGTGGGCATACCAATAACGATGTTGTTTCTTTATTTTTTTTTTTTTCTTTACGACGGCAGATTTGATCGGTACGTGAAGCTGAGGCAATAGTTTTCGCTTGCGGCAACAAAAAAAAACCACCCCATAAAAAAAAATACGACAAAGACAAAGATCGGGTCGAGGAGTGTTCGCGTTCGGAAACCTATATAATATAAATCCACCCGCTGAAATTCGTCCGTGGGGACCGTTTGTAACCGCGGAAACGTCCACCGACGAAACGTTTCCGGTTCCGCTCGTCGTGTACATAATAAATAATAGTACGCGCAATCATCATTCTATTGGCAAACATTCGGGTATTCCACGAGTGAGGAGATGGCGCAATAATTTTCTCGTTGGTTAAAATATTATAACAACGAAATAATTTCGAGAATTAAATCAATATTGTACAACATTGAGATTATGACGTGTGGAGGTGCGTGTCAAAAGCCGTATTTGCTGCACTCGGACTCAGGCACGTAGCCAGATGGGAAGACCATGAGATCTGAATGCCTCCTCCCCTCCCCCCGGAATATAAGCTTCTCACAAAAAAAAAATCAGATTATTGGTAGCCGGTGATCAATTTTATGTTCGGACCCACCCCCAAAAAAAAAAAAAAAAATCCTACCACACATTGGGTTCATATGCATATTTTGTGTGGACGAAAATTACTGACAAATAAAGTGGAAAGTTGTTTAGGGGACTATGCACGACCGGTCGTTTGTCCAAAAACATGTTCTAAATGGTTAATTCTCTTGCCTTGTTCATGCAAAAATAAGTCCAGAGTGCCTTTTCCTCTTTCAAAAAAACAAAAAAATAAATACTAAACAGCTGATTAACTGACATTAAAGTACCGAAAATGCATTAATGCTTGAAAATCATAAGAAAATTCATCAAAACGCAACGAACAATTTTGTCTTTGGACTTTGTGATATACGAATCGAATTTTGTTTTTGATACGTCATCATATATTATGTTAAAGTATTAAGAAAAAAGATGCAAATGCTGCAAATTTCTAGTCCTGATTATAACGTTGAACGCATTAAAAACTGAAAGTCCATATGAAATTCTCTAGAGACTCTAGGCACCCAACAATATGTTTCTAAAATAGTCCTACCGTCCTACCGTCTTGAGTCTCGATGTTTTTTTTTCGGTCGAAAAACCGATATGCTTACACGTCGTTATCGGACGATTATACCACAGTGAAAAATAAACGCTCGTCGGTATAAAATAATCGGCCTTTTCGTGATTCAGATTTTTTTTTTTTTTAGAAAAGACCGTCAGGAAGAAAAATCGATGATATCGCGACTTCGCGGTCGAGTGAGCTCGTCATCGGTAACATCGCGACAGAATTGTCACGAATACTATAAGATACCGTTTAGCAACTACTGCGAGGCGCGCAATATGAACTGCGAGCACGTTATATTATTATATTATAATATACGTCGTTTTGTACGCATCTCGTTATATTTTTCAGTAAATTAAAGTTTTAATATAGAATACTATACCGACTGCTACCCTATTGCAAAGTCGTGTAGACTGAATATACAAACAAAGAAACGTCGAGAACAAGTTGGTTTATTAAAAAAAAAATCAAAAAAAACAAAAATAATATATAATAAGAAAAGAACAACTACGTTATTTTTTTTTTTCTCTTTACAGGGGATATAATATTGCTCGCCACTTGTCCCTTCAACCCGCGCCACGGAAAATGATATTATACAGTTTTAACTCGATTTAATATTTTCGTTATTACGTTCTATATACGCGAGATATCTATTCCGGCCGCGACGAGTTTTTACGTGGTCCGTGACGATGAGGGCTGAAGGCTATTGCAATAGGCGTGAGACGACATTTTATACCCATCTACCCAGGTATATTATTTTTAATCGATTAACAACCAAAAATAATAAAACAAAAAAAAAAAGAACAATTAATGTGGACGGGTGTGCCGCCGTTTTAATAGTTGCAGGCGTAAAGTTGAGAAGGTAAAATACATAAAGTAATTTTAATTTATATTTGAAAGCTCCGATAAACAATTGCTAACGAAAAACGATTCAGGGCGAAGTTCGGTTTAACTTCGCTCCGAATCTAAAATATCAAAAGCATTATTGCCGTAATTTTTCTGGTATTTTTTTTATGTTTTTTCCCATTTTTCACGCGATTATTTTGAAAGTCCCTTGGAAAAACAAAAAAAAACCTCTTGCGCCCACTAGATTCAAAATTTAAGAAAAAATCCCGTCTCTAGTTATTTTTCGATAAATGCAAAATTTCTAATAGAAAAGTTGTTTACAGACAGCAAAACACCCCTCCAATATATTCATCGCTACGTTCAGAATCTAAATTTATTTATCATTTTAAAAACGTATACTTACTTTATTCCATATTGTATTGTGTTTTGAATAATTGATTCGGCGTACAATAATAAAAATGTGTATTATTTTTATTATTATTATTTTTTTTTTTTCAATCGAAATTGTCCTTTTCGTCCAATATTGTCTTACGACAAAACCACGTACCTTTTTCAAATTGGCTCGCGACGAAACTATCGCGTTTCAATGATGTTTATTCGTTTTTACTATTGTCTGGTATGCTATGCTGACTCGACATTTATAAAATCTACGGATGCGAAACTACGGGTCAGACCAGTCAGGTCCTATCCTGACCAGCTAATGCTGACTGGATAACAGACTGAATAACCGACTTAATAGAATTTTAAATTAAAAGCTTTATTTCCGTATATAACATTCCTATGATGGTTTTTTTTTTTAAAAAAATAAATATAATATATACATACGTAATTAACAATTGGTAATACCAATCATACTTACAGTAAATGAGGGTTTGATAGAATTCCTTGAAATTCAATCGTATACAAATAATTGTACGATTATTTCCATGTTATATCAAGCAATAGCAAACTATTGCTTGATAAAAACAAATTGTTTCCGTTTCGAGTGGGCCATAAGATCGATAACCTAACTCATAGAGTAATGAATTATAATTGGAATATTTTTTTTTTATATTTATCATTTTATCTGTTCAAATAAATTGTCTAGTTTTGTAAATGCATGGAACTATTTATATTTGTAACGGTGTGAATAAGAGATTTAGATACGACCGAGTACTATTTACTATTTACTTAACAATAGTTAAGGGCATTTGTTATTCGAATGAGATGTGAAGAAGCACATATAATTTTTAGTACCTAGTCAAAACATTATAATACGGTTAGAAAAATAAAATTCACACTCGACGCTTCGTGAAGCGATATCACCATCACGCTCAATCAATCATAGCCTGAACAAAATCATTATTAAATAAAATGGGTTTCGCGATTTACAGATCATAATCCATCAGCCTCGACGTGTGTAAGTTTCTTAAATCAAAATATAACCCTTTTTTCGTTTCGAGCGTTTCGCCCGCGCTCCTGGATAAACTCTTTTTCGAGAACCCCATACACAACTAGTACCTAGCTCTGACTTTTAGCAGCTTTCAATATTAATTTCTTTTAATAATTCAACCTTTTGCTGATCATATTTAAGTATTAACACTCGTCCGAGTGCACGGAGTTTTGAAGTGTAAACTATTTTAAATTAAAACGTTGCAAATATGTTGTAACCGTCATCCAGTCAGTCCAGAATCGCGTGAGGATTCCTACAGATATATACTCGTACCCTAGCATTCCAACACAATGTACAGGTTTTCAACATTATTCCTTGCTTTTTGATATCATCACCATTCTTCCTAAAACCTTCCGAACACCTGGAGGACGATAATAATCCAACTAATGAATTGAATTCCCTCCTTACAATCTCCTACAATCTCCCTCTACTATTTTATCTTATTAAAAAAGTTATTAAAAAGTTCTTTCTTTTTATGTTATCACATTTCCACTGTGAAAAGTTAAAACCGCGATGACAAAGCGTAATTAGAAAAAAAAAAAGGCGACACAGGTTAGTCACGCTAAAGTTAGAGTATCCAGGGTATTTTGCAACAATAAACTATTGCTAACAAAAAAGCGATTATTAGTGGAGTAGTAATATGGTTCGTGTCTAGTTTTACTTGTGGCTAACAAAATCAACAGAAGAATAAACCCTAGTGGATGAAGTGCTGAAAACTAAGTACCATTAGAAATTCAGCATAAAAAAATTGGAGTGAACTGACCAAATTGTTTTTTCCAAACAAAACATTTAAGAAACATTTTAATCAAACTAAAAACTCTTTCACAACACTCACAATCTAAACAGTTTCGACGTTTACACGTCGAAACGCATTTATTTTTTTTTACTCAACGCATTTCTTTACGCTGCACAACTTAGTTCAGCATCTAAAATATTATACAAATTAAATTTAAATTGAGTTTAAAAAGCAAAATAATTTTGAATTGCAATTATAATAAAAACGCAACGGAGCTTTTTTTTAGTGAAACTCGTATTCAGTCACTCTACTACAAACTATTTTCATCCGACCCGCAATCTGGAACGTCCGATTATGTGCCTGGCGACAATTGATTCGACAATTGCTGCACCAAATCTTCGGCATACGGAACGTTGCATATTTTTTTTTTTAATTTCAGTGCCCATTCTTCCAGCGTTTCCTCTAATAAATAAAAAAGAAACAATTGTTAATGATAAAAAAAAAAAACATACAATTTATATGTTAAAAGTTAGACAAACCTTTTTCATTGGCCGCCGCTCGCAGCGTATAGGAATCTTTGTATAGAGATATCCATCTCTTCCGATCATCCTGCATTGATATCAACATACAAATTAAGATTATTAAATAATAATAGATAATTGTACCTAAAACGTTTAATTTCGGTTTTTTGTTGGAAATCGGTCATAAATTATTTTAGTGAGCTGATATTTGAACTGCATACTTATACTACACTTTTCTAGATCTGTTAAATTTTCATAATGTTTTGGCAATTTCTTTTTTTTTTTTATGGGCGTTTTATGTTATCAAATTTTAACGAAAATCGCCATTTGTACGGCATTTAAAAACAAGCATAATCAAACCTCGCTGTTAATCGTTTTCCGCTAATCAATTTCGGGTATTCAAAAAAAAAAAAAAAGATTTCAGGGAAAAGTAGTATGTACCCAATCAGCCAAAATAATAATAATCAACTAGCGAATGCGATTACAGCTTTCTGTAGAGTTATAGATACTTTTTACTGAACTTTAAAAAAATGATTAAAAATCACGAGTTCAAATAAAATAAAAAGTTGAAATGTCAACATTTTTAAAACAATAATAGACTAAAAAATGTTTTTTTTTTTTTTTTAAAAAGTTTTCGGAAATAATAAAATACAAATTAATTGTTTTAGTTATTTTTTTTTTTTTTACCCAAACATAAACAATTAAATCAAATACAAATAATTGTTAGTTATAATTTGATTATCTCTGTTATCTCTGGATATGGGACACCCTGTATAATCCCTGAACGCATTCTGCGAATTTGTTTTTCACAAAACAATAATAAATAACAATTTATTATACGCTCTCACCCGCACGAAAGCTGCTGCAGGTATCATTAATATTGTTGCAGAATGTATAGGTAGGTGCACAATGTTTCCGTTCGAATATTATGCGTCACGCGACAATATAATAATAACGGCGAACGGGGTGAAAGATATTTTATAAATATTTACTCTTATAATATTTAGCGGCGGAAAAAAAATTTAATAAATAATCGTCACAATAACCTAAAAATATATGGATTTTCGAACTATATAGCACAATATACACACAGAGGCTCGTTGAACGTTTTTTTTTTTTTTACATTGTACTGTAAAAGATTAGTGCTGCCACGGCGAATTTCGTGTATGCATGGTGTGCAATCGTGAAGAAAATAAATACATAATATCAATCGCCTTAAGAGGATACATATGCGTTTGTAATTATACTGTTGCAAACTACTCGGCAATAATTTGCATTCAACGGAATCAATTAATGCACAGCTCACAGTCCTTACATGAATTGTAAACTGATACGAAATTGGCAAAACTTACAATTTGAACATAGTTCACAAGGTTGCAGTTCACTCTATTCTACGTCTCTATAGACGTAGAATTGTTGATGTTTGTTTTTGTTAAAAAGAGTACAGATTCCTACAGAGCGCATTGTACCTCGATTTTAGATTCCGAGCGTAGCGATTGAGCTATTGGTTTTACTAAGATGTTTATTTTTTTTTTTCTTTGTTCTAATCAACTCAAGTAGACTAGATTGTATTTTAGAGAGGTAATTTTTTGTTTTTCGGCGCCATTTTTTAAATAAAAGTTCTTAAGTGGGGACAAACGTAGGAAATCGTTCAATTTCACGATTTCATTATTTTATAAAAACACGGACGACGTTTTTAACAGAAAAAATAAATTGATCGAAAAATCACAAATATTTTTTTTTATTGCCGTTTTGATTTACTTTTTTATGGTATCATCTCCAAAACTTTTGATATTTTTTTTTGAACTTTTAAGGAATTTAAATTTTTCTTATAATTCGGTAAATATATATAAATACACGTAGAGACTTAAAACTTGGTAATACTTATATTAAACTTACCTAGACGTGGTAAAATTAAGTCTTATTAAAAAAAAAAAATTCGTCCGATGATTTTTGACAAGACTTTTGAAATCAAATTTAAACGAAAATCTTAAAAAAAAATTACGACACTTTAAATTAAGTAATACCAAATTGCGCTCGGAATCGTCTTTCGTCAAGCAATGGTTTATTGTTGCTTACGGATATAAATGATATATCTTAACTAATATATCCTAACTTGCCAACTTTTCACCTACAACAGCGGCCGCTCCCACATCCAGTGTCTCAGCTCTTTTTTTTGTTTCAGCTACTGACAAAACCGCGGTTTTGATCGTCAATCGCAGTAGCGTGCCTGGGGATTTTCAGCTGGAGGAGAAGTGACAATAAAAAAAGAATTGTAAACGCGTCTTACCGGCGCGAATCGACTACGGGAGTTATTGGTAATTTAACAGCTATACTGTGCTCACGGTAATCAACGGATCTAAATCCCGTTTTGCATATTCCAAAGGTGGCTCGATCCCCTTGTTGTCGCTCAGTGCTCTGAATATGATTTTAGGCGTGTACATTTGTTTTAGCCCATCTTCGTCTAGCTCAGGAATCACAGCGTACACGGGTTCGATTCTGTATGTTACGATTATAACGGTACATAATATTATTATTAGACTCATATCATATTTTCATTTTTTTAATTCTTTTTCTTAGATTTAGAGGTCATTATTGCTATTGCCGCATCACACGTTTCCATCATGTTTTAAAAACAAAATGGTTTTATAGCTCTTACCGACGGCTCGTAGAATCTGAGTCCAGTATCTGTACGGAAGGAATGAAATCTTTTTGGTAAGTAGATTTGTACATCGTAACAAATATGAAATGTTTTTTTAAAAAAAAAAAAAATAATAGATATTATTATTTTGTGGTGTTCACTGAACAACTAAAATAAATCTGTCGATTTGCTTCTATGGATACCTAGTGTATTCCGCTAAACAAACTGTAAATGTACGAATATTTAAAATCAAAAGTTGAAGAGCCTATAGCAACGTATCACACGAGGGAATAGTAGTTATGATTGCGTAACTTTTTATAGAAATAAATTTGAAATTGAATTTCGTAGCTTTCGGATCTCTTACAATTGGGAAAACGAATTGTTTAAAACATATTCTCAACTAGAACGTAGAAGTGTAAACAAATTTATTCTGTAACTACAGAATGTAATTAGTTTCTTTATCAGGTTTTCTCCGTTGCCGTCGCGCCTTTATCGACACTACCCGTTGCGCAATTCCCGCTGCGGCTCCTTGGCCGCATGCGACGACGTGTAGCAAATGGTGGCGCACACTAAACGCGAAAACAGACTCACGCGTGTTACGAAAACGTTTTTTTTTTTTTTAGAAATTCTTAACATTCCTCCGCTATTGATTCTTTATCATACTATAGTAAGTACCCACAAGTACCTTGTGGCAGTTGTTAATTGATATTTCGTAACTGTTGTATATAATTTCGTTTCGAAGAGGTATGCAAATTGTATACGGTATTGTTTTTTCTATGTGATGTATGCATTAATTTAATTTTTTTTTTTTTCTGTCCGTGAGTAATTTTTTTACCAGTCGTCTCGCTCCGATTTAAAAATAACAATGAACCTTTTGCGTCGAACTTTGAATCTAGATGGTGCATTGGAATTTAAGAGATAATTTTTTGAATTCATTATTTACAATTGTCTCGATTTGTGTGTTTTCTTTCGAAAATTTCGTACCGAATTTCAATAGTAGCGTCTTTTTGTATTGTTTAAACTCAAATATCGTACACTACACAGCGATTCGCAAGTAAGTACTTGTATATACTGTACAGTATTATAATCTCCCGAATATAATCAGCTTTTATTATAATTTCGTTCCGAATTAGTGCGCTAAACACAATATAAAATATAATAATGAATAACACGAAAAACTCGATTAAAAAAAAGATAATCATAAAGTCCATCGGACGAGAGAATCGAAAACTATTATAACCATATAAGCGCGTTCGTGTCGTAAACTATATATTTCAGAAAAAAGGAGAAATAAGAAAAAACAATTTTTCACCGTATTTGTTACGCCGGTATATACGATAAATAATACGATTTTACTATTATTCGCGTATACCTCTTTATTATAATATTAATATATATATTCTTAAAGCGAGGTTTTTTTTTTTTTTTATTTTTTTTAAGTACGCACTACACGTACGTGCCATAATAATATATAATACCGTTTTTTTTTTTTTTTCGGTTTGCGCTTAAAGCAATATATCTGGATCCGCATACGCGCGCGCGTACATAATATAGAAATGAAATAAAATGCGAGATTGTACTTACAAAACCAAAAATAATCTACGAGCGGGCCGGTTATTATAATGGCGGTAACCGAAACGGAATAATCTTATAGTAACGTTTTCGGTAAAGTTAAGGTATACAGGGCGAATGGCATCATAATAACGCGAGACTATAAAACACGGTATCCTTATCTTGAAAAGTATTAACGTTTTCGAAATTTCGTTTACATGAAAATTATAAGAATGCGAGCATTTCTGCGACGTTATTAAATTGCCGTTATTTTTTGTCGCCCTTATTTTTGGGCGGTGTCACCCCCGATCTACTCACGAATTTCACAGATAACAATCTATATTAATAAAAAAAATGCCATAAATATATGATATTTTAGTCGGAGTTGTGATTTTTAATTTCCATCATTTCGTTGACGACGTGTTTCACTTTTAAGTTTGCTGTTTTGCGGGCGAGTAGAGAGTAGCGGAGCATCGTGCGTGTGACGGCATGCTGCGGCGTAACGTTAAAACTAAAAAATGGAATATCACGTCAACGGGTTGATGGAAATTAAAAATGCCAGAATACTAACCATTATTCTATATTAAAACTTCATATATTATTATTATGGTATTTCGAATATAAGTTGCTATTTGAAAATCGAAAATAGATAGGTGGTTTCTTTACCAAAAAATGTAAGCGGCAATAAACAACAATCGTGTAGACATTTTAGAACTGTTCGTTACTTAAACTATCTAAAAATCGAATTTCAAAAGATTGTGATACATTCCTAGATAATGAGTGTCCTACGTTATGTTGATCACGCTGTATATTATATTATATGAACAAACCGTAATTTTCCGAGTCGTATATTACGCAGATAGAAACGAGGTTTGTTGCTTTTATGCGCATTGGTTTTAGAATAATATATTATACAAGAACACGTAACGATAAATTTGAAAAAAATTTTACCCATAATTTATTATTATTATATAACTTGGAAATTCGAAACCACGAATCGAGTGTATTATATATCATCATATAATACCTCTATAAAATCGTGATTTATTAAAGCTTCAACTATAATATAATCGCGAGGAAATTTGGTTTTTTTTTTTTTAAATAGCGGGATACAAGATATTTTTTTTGAAAACATTCAACTGGACATTTTATTAGACTTTATGCCTTGATACTGTTACACTATATTGTTCTATAGCTGCACGGAAACTAGTTGGCGATACTCATCTACGCTACGGCCGACAACGAATACAATGTAATAACTTTAATTAATTGTTTATACTCCTCTGACTTTGGTTTTCGAAACGAGTGGACGAACTTAAATAGCTCGCGAAGTTTTCCGTGATTACAGTATAGTTCTGTTTTGTATTTCAACTCACGATGATTTTATCCGAGGATTCAAAGTGAATTTGATTATGATTGTCTATTTTCGATCGATATGGAATCATTTAAGCCAGTGGTTCCCGACCTTTTCGTTAAGGCGACCCACGTATTTACACTTTTTCGAGTATGCGATCCACATCAAACAAAATATGTATAAAATCAAGTATGCTATAACGGTTTAATACATAACAATCAATTATATTAATAATAAAACTAATATGAATAGATTTGTAATAAAAGTAATTTTATCATTCGATTTGAATATAATTGAAATATTTAATATAAAATTGCTAATAATATGAAAATTATTTTTGGTACTTTTAAAAAATAAAAAAATCGAATAAGAATAATATGATGATAAAATAATTTCAATGAGAGTTAGTGTGAAGGCAGATTCTGAATGTTGATGCATAATATTTCCCACCGGGGTACAATTTCAGATAAACTGATGCGCATGCCGTGTATGACATTTCATTGTTTTGTTTTGATGTTGATTATAGTTGAAAATCATTTTTCACGTAAATAAATAATTAGAAAAATTAATAGTTTTTTATCGCATTTAATGACAATGTTGTTATTATAATCATATTATAGTATCCGCCTACCGAAATTTACGATCCGACGAATGAAAAACATGATTGCGAAACATAAAATAGTTATTTTTTGCATACGTTCATTAATATTTCCGTCAAAACGCAACGCAGAAGTAAGAGATCTGAAACAGTCACGATAGCTGCCCCGTTGACGATCATCGCGTACGCGACTCGCGTCGGTTTCAGTTTCGCGGAACATTATTACGCTGTAATGCGTACGACACCGGAGTACGTGGACCAATTTTACAATGATTTTGGCGAGTACCAGACGGTCTACGAAGACGGGACGGTGGTCGTGGCCAGGATCCGGCTGGAGGTGAAAAAGGTTTTGTTGCGACCCATATCCGCATCCGAGTTAATCGTGAACCCGAATATTTCGGTACCATTAGGCGGACCGCCTGATCGCCTGCTGATCACCGTGACAAGCAAGTGGTTTACGCACGTTTTTGTCGTAGAGTACCGTCCGGAACGGCCGCTAACTTATATCATTGCGTCGTCTTTCACTCAACATATTTCCGCCGGACCAGTCGTCGACCAGCCAACTCTGAAAACGACTTTCACTGCAAGTGACCCGCTGCTCAGAATCCTAAAACACATACCTTCTCCTGAAATCGAAACTTCCTCTTCGAATAACACTACCGGTAATATACTATCTAATTTAGCCAAAAACAACCCACTTGCTAGGATCTTAAACCGGGTACATAATTCCGCCAAAATCACCGTTACCCGCCATCCAGTTAGAAAACTACACAAAATTAACACTTTAGCAGTTCTTCCTATAAAACCAAACAAAGGTATATTACTGTCTGAATACTCCGTTACCAACTTCAAACGTTTTGTACATACAATTTTGCGAGAAAATGTTCACTTGCCCAGGTCGTGGACGTTTTCCAGAATTCGGCATCGATTTGTCGAGACGTTTTTCGATAAATTCACTCTCCAACAACGTCGGACGACCATGTCCCGCGATCGTATTATGTAAAATAGTCCACCTCGGTCAAACGATTCAGAACAACTGACGAAAAATATTAAACGTGCCTATTACAATAGTAAAAATCAAAAAACCGAATTGATCAATCGACACTAATGTTGTTGCCACGCAACTATACGTCATTGAACGGTGTGTCCGACGTCGTGCAAGCCAGGGACTTTTTTTGTGTTTGAAAAGACACAAATCGATTATTGTGCGAGAGAACTAAACTATAGTCGTCAATAAAACACGTGCCTGTACGTATTTCAAAAATATAAATTAACTCGAATACATACACGTGAAATTGTTTTCTACGATTGAATCCCGATCTCTGCGAAATTGATTTTTACCCTAACACAAAAAATACCTCATTGCGTCCTAAACCTGCAAAACTCCGGAAGACGACAACTAGGTATACAGGCAGGTAAGTAATCTGAAATACAAAGATTTGAAAAATATATACCCGAGTGGCGGGGCAATCGTCGTCGGTTTCCACGTTAACCTCGTAATACGTATAATCGAAAAGCTTCGAGCGTAAAAGTGACTCGTCCGACAAATATAATAACAGAACCTATGTAGGTATATACCTATATCCGTGCGCAATCTCTGCACGCCCTCGGGTTCTAAATTGAATTTAACCGTCGGAAACGGCGCAAACGTTTATCTAATAATAATAATAATAATAATAATAATATAAAAAAAAAAAAACTAAAAATAAAAATCATTAATCAGAAATGCAAATATTTATAATTGTATTATTTTCCGAGAGCGCCGCCGTCGTCATCGCGTTAACGAGCTTGCCGCAACACACGAATTCCTTGAAATCCCCGGACTTCAATGTAATAAAGAAAAGCATTTGCCGTGCATTTTTTTTACATCACTCCCGGTGGCTTATTTTCGCATAATACTTATATTGTGCCCTCGGAGCCACTACGCTCTGATTAAGTTAGATCTCGTCCCCCCCCCCCGATAATAGTCTATATGCAAAACCGTATGTTCCCACTGGTTATCACTGATACTGCTTGTTTGTGCAGCATCTTAAGTGTAAACCCGGGTACATAGGTACATAGTAGTGCTGGACACAAATCAGAACAATACGGATTTTGAATTGAAAATTATATTCAACGGCTTCGGAGTAATCCGGTTTAATCCGGATTCATAGATTCGATCCGTGAATCCGTACGTTCAAACAAGATTTTGATTCAATAATGAAAACATTGATTATGGATATGGTTTATTGACTTTTGAGTCTACAAAAGTAAATATATAATCCCCACTACCGAATGCCCATTTCGGCGAATCCGGATTAGTCATTCTAGTCCGGATTGATTATTCTCATCTAAATTAAATAGGTCGATACCGTTTCTCCGATATGGATTGAAATCCGAATTTCGAAATGGACCGGATTGATCATAACTAAGTACCCGGCACTAATATACATAGTGGTTCTGAGAGCGCGTTACTCGCGAAAAGCGCTGCCGAGTGGATCGCCATATTTTCGTCGCGCGCTTATAACGGTTTAAAATTTATCGTCACCGACCGCAAAGTTTATCCCGCGAAAACTTCGACGACTCGCGACTCGGGCGGAGTAACCGTAACAGAAGAAAACCTCTCCCTCCCCCCCCTTCCCTACCGGGGAAAAAAAGTTTTTATAGACACCTTAATTAAACTCGTATATTATCTGCAAAGCGGGTCGCGCGTAATGTAACAAAAAAAATAAAAATAAAAATATATTATTTATGATTATACGATAGGTAGATATATATATATGTATTCGTTCGAGGTAATTAATCTTTAAAATGTATTAATATATATATATATGTATATAATATTATAATATATTGCGAGAAAAAATATTTTTAATTAAAAAAAAAAAAAGTAATAATAACAACTATCCCCTCGAGTGAAATGACCTCGTGCGTGCCGAATAAGTATATTATAATAAGTTAACCGCGCGCGGGAACTGCCGCAGTGACTTTTCCCATTAATTTTTCATAATAATTTTAACGCCCGCGCAGTTTGACTAAGTAACGCAATAACGTTTGCCGCACTGTAAATAAATAAATTATTATCCGACCGCCTCGTCGTGTATATCCTTCGCTCGGCGTGTAGTTAAGTCCGATCAAATTAGCGTTGCCGTTTGTCGGAGCCGGCTCGTGTACGCCCATAAATACGCAGTAAAATGCCGTCCCGTTCGAAGTTATTAAGAAAATTGAAAAAGACCACCGTCCCCGTCGTCATTGAACGACATTTCAACCAGAAATCTTGACCCGGTCATCGACATTATTAGTTCACATTCGTCATTGAACCGGGGTTATTATACAGACTGTTACGATTCTGTATTCGGTCAATCCGCCGTTTGAATTGATCCAATTTGCGTGTTAATACATACTTCAAAGGTCATCGAGGTACATTGCTGCAATACAAACTTTCTGTATCCTTGAGCTACTTCACCAATATTCCCTGTCCATGATTTCTTTTTACTTTTTTCAATATGATCTCTGTTTCAGTATTCCAATAGGCATTTCAAAATAGAGGATAGTTTATGACATAATTGTTTATCGATTTGGCGTTCGGATCTTAATATATACTGACCCCCAAACAAATTAAATCCCTTGTCTCGGATGTTAGCTACTAATATTTTGTTTTTCAAATGGTTCCTATAGAGATTTTTGTTTGGTCTTATCACATAAGCGTCTCGTTGCTATTTTTTAATATCCGTAGATCGTCCTCTAGAATTTTTCGTAAGGTGACCGCTAAAATATACTATCTAGCACTCACGAGTGCCTTATGACTAGTGAATCGCTATAAATACGCTGTATAACCGTGGTTTCGATTTCTTCAATAATTTATCTTTGATCCCAATCTTGTCCTAACCGTCTGGTGTAGTAACATCTACGCAGGTTAAACACGTCAGTTGAAATATTTCTAAACTGATTCCTACATGACTAAATCAAATGCATCGCGGGATAGAAATTCTCGTTTTCGTAGAAAAAAAATTCGAATTTGTACCCCGACTTTGCGCCATCGTCTCTGGGCGCGATTATTTTGGGCCTGATTTGTGACGTACCCCCAATACGCATTCACGGTTCCACAACAAACAAACATACCTACGTAGATTTCAGAAAGTTCCCGTGACACTCGGGAATTCGGGTGCAGTTCGGGATTTCCGCAAAATAAAAAACATCCAGATTTGTACCGACCCGGTTTTGTCCGCGCTGTAATGTTAATATTCTTGCGTTCACATAACACGATAGGAGATAATTAATACATATTTACGAGGACCATCGCCGCACATGGTTTGCGTGTTCGTTTTCTGCAGCAGACCCGTCGTAAAAGGCTTAGTGAGTAGTTTTTTTTTTTTATTTTTTTTTTTGTCATCTTTAATCAGTTAATGGCCCGTATATGCAACACATACATACACAACGCCTCGTAGTACGTCCCACATAATAAAAAAAAATGTATATAACACGTAGGTATGTACAAAGGGCGTGTGCGGACGCGCGTGACGGACTTTTTTTATTTTAACCCCCACGGACGACAACGTATATTTAAACATTTCTCGTTCAATTTTTATTTTCTATTTTTTTTTTCATTTTTTTTTTTTATGACTACGACATTGTAAAATATAATATTATACAACCTACAGGGACTAATCAGCGGGGTCCGCATATCTCCGGTGTATATATTCGATGCGCACTAACAAATTCGACGCGTTAAATTAAAATTAAAAATAATGGCGATATATTATTGTTTTTTATTCGGTTTATTATCCCATTTGATATCTGAATATTTTATCTGGCTACAGTATTCTAGTTTTCAGCTACAATTTTCGGACGCAGGAACACTGTACATGGCCGTAATTATGGATTTTAATAAATACGTCATTATGATAATATATCGTATGAAACCTTGACATCGATGAGCATCATCGAAAAGAGAGAACTTTAAAACGCAGTGTTACCGAGAAATGCTCAAGATGTCGTGTTAAAACTCCATAACAACTGAAGAAGTTTTAAGCAGAATATTACTAAGAGAAAAAAACCAATGTAGTCGAATTATAAATAAAACAAATGAGCAGCAGAGCTCCGTCACTAGAGTTGAATATTCTCCAGGCTTACTTATTGCCGTTGCAATATTTCCTTTTTTTTTTTTTTTTTAATGATAAATTATTGTATTAAACACAACAAATTCTGTGAAAACAGATAAAATAGATTTTGAAACGTTTACTAATATTACAAAAAGACGGTGGGTTCGGGTGTTGAAAGTTCAAACCTATTAAAGGCGACAATTCTATTTACATACATAGTTATGCACATTTTAACCAAGCTACTTTCATAATTCCGTAAAGGTACTTAAAAACTGGTATTTCCTATGAAACTATGAAATCTAAGCACAAAAATAATTGAGGAGAACGTCAATAGTTTAAATCACATGATGGCGCATGGTGTCAAAAGGCACCGTGTATAGGAATATACACGATTTATATCGTCTAGCTTCATTTGGAAAGTCTATGGGGGCCCACAAAGATGAAAATACACCTTTCTCCAACAAAAGCATGCGGTAAAGTTCATATTTTAATTCAATACAAATATTTTCACACGTCTATAAATAAAAAAAAATTATAATTCCTGAATTTGAGATGTTTTGGTCCAAAGGAAGCAGCTAAAGTATCCAAACGTAGCGGAAAAAAGAAATAGTTACATGTGTTACATGACAAACACAATACATGTGCAAAATATAGTTTCTGTTTTCGGGGAAAATTCACTACGAAGGAACACCTGTACACAAATTGAAATATTAAAAAACCGCTTATAAAATTAAAACAAGTAAAACTGAATAAGCATACGCATTTAATTCACGCATGACGTGCACACATCGGTTATAATTATCGGGTATTAGCTATATTTCGGTACTCACAAATTTGATATTTTTCCAGAAAATATACTCAGATTATTTATGTATAGGAACTACTCACTTTTGGGAGTATAATATATTTAATTTTCCAAATG